ACCTCTTAGCACTGACTCACTCTTTCCACTTCCCACTTCCTGCAAACAGTTTCCTTGACAATTTCCAACTCCTGGATAAAGGGACATCACTTCCTTTGGGAGTTAGATAGACGAGTTTTCACTAAATGTGGATGTGAGAGCTAGATAAAAAATTAGTCACTTTGGGCAGGATAGTGTCTGTCATGGTTCAAATCAGACTTGTAATTAAAAAAGGGTGTTTTTTTTTTTTTGAGACGGGGTCTTGCTCTGTCGCCCAGGCTGGAGTGCAAGGGCACAATCACAGCTTACTATAGCCTTGAACCCCCGGGCTCAAGTGATCCTCCCACCTCAGTCTCCCAGGTAGCTGGGATCACAGCCACGTACCACTATGTGCAGCTAATTTTCAATTTTTTTTTGTAGAGATAGGGTCTTGCTATATCTATAAGTATATAGCGCCCAGGCTGGTCTCAAACTCCTGGCCTCAAGCAATCTGCCTGCCTCAGCCTCTCAAAGTACTGGGATTACAGGTGTGAGCCACCGTGCCTGGCTGAAAAGGTGATTCTTGATTGAAGGCAAACACACTTTAATCAGTCCCACCCATCAGCCTGGTCTCAGTGGGTCCACTGAGAAAGGCTAGACATTTGCTGAGGAGGCTCAGTCCTTTGAGCATGAGGTAGGAAGAGGGTGGGACAGGTAGCAATGCTGGCAGAGAAGGTAGGTCCACTGAGGGCACAGATGGGCTCAGGCAGCACAGATGACCAACAGGAATACCCAAGAGTGGCCCATCCCCATCTTGGCACCCCCATGGACACCCACCTGCTTGGTCCTCTGCCTGGGTCACTGGCTGGTGCCAAAGGCCTGCTCCATTCTGCAGCCACAGCACCCAGCCCTTGGGGATGGTCAGGCAGGGCTTGAGAAGACTCCTGCCTCCTGGGGCCTGGCTTACACGTACAAGAAACAGCCACCCATTTGCAGATACCCACTGCCAATGCCCAAGGACCCTGTCTTGCTGGCCAGTTCCCCTGTCCCTTGAACTTGATCCACACCAGTAAGGAGTAAAAAGAAGGGGCCAAAGGAAGTCCTTCAGAGTCTGGGAAGATGAGGTGACATAGAATTTGCAAAGCTTGGTTTCCAAGTTGTTAAAACAGGCATAGTTAAGACCAGCCTGGGCAACACAGTGAGCCCCCATCTATACAAAAAATTAAAAAGTTAGCTGGGTGCAGTGGCGTGTACCTGTGGTCCTAGCTGCTTGGGAAGCTGAAATGAAAGGATCTCCCGAGCCCAAGATGTCGAGGCTACAGTGAACCATGATCATGCCACTGCACTAATTGGGCAACAGAGCAAGACCCTGTCTTAAAAAAAAAAAAAGAAAGAAAAGAAAAGAAAAAAGAAAAACAGGCACAGGATCTTAGGAGCCAGAGAGGACCTCCTTCCTGGACCAGGGTCCCCTCTACCACACTCATGGCCATTGTGAGACTTGCAGGGTGGGGAGGTGAGCCCTGGGAGGCTGCCCACACTCTCCTAGAACAGCCTGAGCACATCAAAGTCCTTCCTTAGAGCCTCTAACAATCTTTTTTTTTTTTCCAGATGGAGTCTCACTTTGTCACCCAGGCTGGAGTGCAGTGGTGCGATCTTGGCTCACTGCAGCCTCCATCTCTCGGGTTCAAGTGATTTTCCTGCCTCAGCCTCCTGAGTTGCTGGGATTACAGGCGTGCAAACCACATCTGGCTAATTTTTGTATTTTTAGTAGAGATGGGGTTTCACCATGTTGGTCAGGCTGGTCTTGAACTCCTGACCTCAGGTGAACCACCCACCTTGGCCTTCCAAAGTATTGGGATTATAGGCGTGAGCCACTGTGCCTGGCCTCCCTGTGACAATTTAAAAAACATGAAAAATTCAATCTATATAGAAGTAGAGAGAATAGTATAATAAATCTAAAATACTCCTCTCTCAGCTTCAATAAACCCTACCCACTCCTCTGGGGACAATTTTATTTATTGAGATGGGGTCTCACTCTGGGACCATCTAATCTAATCTAACCTATCTAATCTTATTACCTACGTATCTACCTACCTAGTTACCTATCTGCCTCTCTGTGACCATTTTTTGTTTGTTTGTTTTAGACGGAGTCTTCTTTGTTGCCCCGGCTGAAGTGCAGTGGTGTGACCATGGCTCATTGCAACCTCTCAACCTCCTGGGCTCAACTGATCATCCCACTGCAGCCTCCCGAGTAGCTGAGACTACAGAAATGTGCCAGTGCAACTGGCTAATTTTTAAAAAATTTATTTTTTTTAGAGATGGGGTCTCACTATGTTGCCCAGGCTAGTCTCAAACTCCTGGGCTCACGTGATTCTCCAGCCCTGGTCTCCCAAAGTGCTGGGATTATAGGCATGACCCACTGTGCCCAGCCTGGGACAATTTTAAAGAACAAATAGAGAAAAGCCCGTTGGTTTATAACAAAGACTTGGGTGTGCCAGGTACACTGGTTGGCTGACCTACTACATACTCCTAATTACCCCCATCCTTGCCTGTTTTCCATGACACTCACTTTTCCAGCCTTTCCTACAGGTAGAGGTAGTTCAGTGACCCAGCTATGGGCACTGAGACATAAATGAAAGTCTGATATAAACTCTCATTGTAAGATGACACACGTGTACATAATACATACACACAGATGCATATGTATCAGCCAGAGGAAGCAGTTCATTAGTGAGATGAAGTGAGGTCAGTACAGGAGGCTTTTAAAGAGGTTCCATGTAGATCAAGAGAGTGACAGCTGAAGTCAAGGCAAACAGCACAGTTTAAAGTGGCAAAGTGTGAGACTCTGAAGTAGGGATCTACAAATTGGGAAACAGGGCACCTGTAACAGGATTGATGCAAATAGCCATGTATTCCCTGACAGGCAGCCAGAATCTGTCAAAAAAGATTAGACTAGAGGGGCTTTCTAAAAGACTCATGGAAAGGTAATGGGTGATTGTGTGGAAGTCAGATGTGGGCAGCAACCCTGCTGGGAAAAGGGGCACCAGTCAAGAGACAGCAGAAAGGAACCAACATTTCTCCAGAATTGTGACATTAACTGAACACAGGTACAGATGGAGAAACCTGTGTGGGGGGCTGGATCCTGAACAAGACAGGCAGGGCCCAAGCACACAGCTATGACTTTCACTGACACACCTGACTTCTCTCTTCATGGCTTGGAGCAAAACAGGAATAGCAAACCCACCTGTAAGAAGAACCCAGCAGGCTTTGCAGCTTTTGTCTTAATCCCTTAGGCTTCACAGGTGTTAACACTGGCTAAAAAGAAAAACCCTAACTTACCACGAACTCAGCACCATTCATTCTATTGGATTCCAGATCATTTTTCAAACAGGGAGAGCGCCAGCTCACGTGTTGCTGAGATACTGGCTGCTAAGATGAAGAACTTTGTGAAACGCAATGGAAGAGGGACTCAGAACTCCAGAGAAAAGTTAGGGAAACAGTTGCCAAATGGTGGTGAATGACGGATGATAAGCCAGAGAGTACCATGTGGGAGGACGTTCACATCAAATCTTGGCTGCTACCTCCTGAAGGTCTGGATGTCCTCTCATCAAAATACTGGCAGCTCTTAGGTTATTCTTTTTTTGTTTTTGAGACAGGGTCTCACTCCCTTTGCCCAGGTCGGAGCGAAATGGCATGATCTTGGCTAACTGCAGCCTCAACTTCCAGGGCTTAAGTGATCCTCCCACCTTAGTTGCCTGAGTAGCTGGGACTACAGGCACGCACCACCATGCCTGGCTAATTTCTTTTTGTATTTTTGGTGGAGATGGGTTTCATCTTGTTGCCCAGGCTGATCTTGAACTCCTGAGCTCAAGCAATCCACCTGCCTCAGCCTCCCAAAGTGCTGGGATTACAGGTATGAGCCACCTCGCCCACCTTCCTCTGTTATTCTTATGTCCCATTTGGGACCATAACTAAGACCTCGCAGGCTGCCTGTTGTGACGCTGGCCTGAAATGCTCTATAGTCACTTAGAATTATTTATCAGAGGGGATGTGAATAGACACTGTGTTCAAATTTAACTTGTCAACTACCTTTCTGAGTAATAAGATCCATAGCCCATAACCATCTACTGTTGACAGTCGGGTCTTTGCTGCTATGAATTCTCACCACATTAGAGGCCTAGAGTGGGAGACCTGCCATAAACTAGCACTCATACCCGCCGGGTGTGCTGTTAGCTTACGCCACCCGTTGGAGGTACTGGTGTTATTCATGCCATTTGCAGACCAGAAAATGGAGGCACAGAAAAATGACCTGTGGTCAGGGCCACAGAGCTGGTCCAGCAAGAAATGGAATGCAGTCTTAGGGATCCTGTCATCACTCAAACCTGTCATGTTACTCGAGTAACACACGTGCACATGCAGGCACACACACCAGGAGCAGGTTGTGGGGTTTCCTGCTTTATTAATATGAATGCTCTCTATCCCCCTTTCCCTCTTCACTGAAGATTTGTTACTCTCCTCCCTGCTGTTCTGCAAAGAATGTCTGACTCTAAGCAGGAAGTCTGGAATTTACATTTTCTTATGAGTATAAAAAAGAAAATCCTTCAGAATATTCTCCGACAAACTAAAAACTAATGAACTATTGAAGTGGGAGCATATCTGAATTTAACTTTTCTTTGGGTAGAGGAAAAAGGCTGAAGGGAAAAAACAGCTAATTCAGCAATACCATATCCTTCTTTTCAGCCTTACATGCCATCAGTAGGAATCCATTCAGGAGAGAGACAGAGCAGGAGACAAGCCCGAGTGGAAATGAGAACAAGCTGCAAAGGGGCCTGGCATTCCAGTCACTCTAGTGAGCCACCTCCTCTAGCTCTTCGGGACAAGGCTGGCTGCAGAAAGAGCCTCTTGGTCCCAGAAAATTCACACCCGGGTTGGTCAGCTCTCTTCACCATGCCTGGCAAGACCTCTGCCAACCTGGACAGACCTGGAATGTGCTGTCTTGAACTGGGTGGGACTTTGCAGCAGAATAAAAGGAAGGTGAGTGAGGTCGTCATCTTCATCATCCTCTCACAGGACCAACTTTTATTTTATTTATTCATTTAAGGACAAATTTTTAAAAGTAAAGTGAATGAAACCATTTGTGATTAAGATACATAGACAGAACTTCAATGTAGAAAAAAAAAAAGACCTTGCTGGGAAACAGATGATGAGAAACACTGGAAAACATTTCACAGACGCACAAAAAGCTCACATTGTAAACAGGATTAAGCTGCTCTTGATTTTGTCCGTAACATCAAGGTTTCATTTTGCTCAGCCTGAGATCTCGCTCAATTTCAAACTGCCTGTGATCCACTCGGTCGAGGAAGGCTTTCCGTTCAATGTACCTAGAAGAAGATGAAAACAGTGTTTGTCAGTAGAATCCAGTAGGAGAAACTCCTTCTCTGCATGGTCCCGTGCCCCAGGGATAAACTAAGTTACAGTAAATGGTGCCGAGAGTGACCACCCATGACTCTTCCAGTACAATCCAAACCACTCACATTTGGTCTAAACAAGGATGGTGAAAATAAAAGGAAGGCAACAGCTTATCAAAGGGAAAGTATATCAGAGGCTGGGTGGCAGGAAGATGCTGCAATTTTCTAACAGGACTTTAAGGTAAGAAGAAAGAATACAGGTTTACACAAGCATGGGTTCAAGTCCTAGCTCTAGCTCACTTATTAGCTGGGCAAAGGAATGAACATCTTTGAGCCTCACTTTTCTATACAGCAGCATGGTGATGCTGTATTTCTTGGCTTTAGTGGTGTGTTGAATTGGTGGGTAAGAGAAAGCTATGCCTCTTGCATACATACATCAAAACGTGAAAAGGGGGCATGTGGTAATGAAGGAAAGAAGACAGTAAAAATGACCTCACAGGGCTGCTGTGAAGATGAAGTGAGCTGAGGTTCATAAACTGCACACTTCAGAAGCGATTTAACTGCTCTGAGCTCTTTTCTTCCCCCCTCACCCTTTTCTCCTCTCCGTGGTATCCCCTCCACCCTGTTTGGATCTAGGTTGCTTCTGCTAAGATGACAGGAGAACTCTTTCTCTAAATTCCTCTAAGAGAATGAGGTTAAGGGCCTCTGTGGCCTGTAGTCCACATACAGGATCCCCTTGAAAGGTGGACACTCTGCTCCCGAATCTGGTTGGGTTCAGCAAACTTTCCCTCTGTCCTCCAGGCAGGACGGGAAAGCAGCAAGGGCTGAAGCACAGGCGTGCTTGCTGGGAGCGAGGCTGGCTGCTTAATGAGACACAGCTGCATCTTAATGCACCTCCTCGCCATAAAGTGTGCTGCGATTTGCCTGGGGGGAGGAGATCTCTGCCGCTAATTAATCTATCGAGAGAGCAAAAATTGCCATCGAAAATGGGAGACATAATTGAATCTCTGCACTAATTTTTCTTTTGTTGCACTGTGGAAAATGTGCATCTGTCATTACAAAGTCATTACATTTATAGTGAGAATGCTACTGGGTTCAGGAACCTGTGTTCCCCTGCTGAGTCCAGGGCCTTGCTTTCCCTCCTGGCGGCATCCTGGGAAGTACCATCCATCATCCGACCTCATTTCCAGCTAGGCCTGACTACTTTGACCCTTCTGGAGGGCTGGCCAGAAATGTACAGGCTCTGAGGCCAGAGGGCTGGAGGTTTGAGTCCTATCATTTGCTGTCTGTGTGACTCTGGACAAGTCACTTAACCTTGCTAGTTCTGTTTCCTAATTTGTAATAATGATGATAAATAATGGCTAGTCGACTCCATTCTGAAGGACTGTTGTGTGGATTAAATAAAATAGTGTCTACATCACACTGGGCACAGAAAAGATGCTCAATAAAATGGTAGGTAATGTTGTCACCATGGTTTTAGGAAGCCAGCTTCCAACAGGCTCCTGACGATAGTAGATGGCCCAAGTCTGGACTTATGGTTTCAGCAGTGAGTAACCAAAATACCTGGTCTGGCTCAGATATTAAGCTGCTGTGTCAAAACCATCCATGAGGCCAGAATGGCTGGAAACACAATGACAGGGCCTGCTCTTAGGTTTGATAAAAGCCCCTGGGGTCAGGGTTGTCAGATTCAACAAATAAAAATACAGGCTGCCTGGTTGAATTCGAACTTCAGAGTCCCTGGCAGTCAGGGAAGCTGCAGACAGTGTGGACCCCTTTAGATAAAAAGAGAAAAAGAGGAGACAGGTAGGGAAGTGTAGACATCTAACAACAAACTCACTTCCCACCTCCCACTAAGAGACCTGTGATTCTCAAGTGGGGGCTGCTAACCAAAATGGCCTGAGAGGCCATTTTGAGGTTCACTACATTTTGAGGTTCACTACAACTGGTCATCTTTCCACCCCAGCCCCACCAGCCCCAGGGAGGCTCACTACCATGGGGACCAGGATTTTGACAGCACTGAACTTTAACTGTCCCTTGGAAGTGCCAGCAGAAAAAAGAGAGGTGAGCCTCAGCATGAGATCTTGCTGTGCTGTTGTTGGCCCAGGGGTGTAAGAGGAATTTAGGGTATGTTTCAAGAGCCATCTTCCAGTGCTACCTGTCTGGGAGATCAGGTGGAGGAAAGGAATAAGTATGTGGCTTTAAGCATTTGGGGTCTTTCTTCCTGACTTTATTTTTTTGAGACAGGGTCTTGCTTTGTTGCTCAGGCTGGAATGCAGTGGTGCAAACACAGTTCACTGCAGCCTTGACCTCTTAGGCTCAAACAATCCTCCTGCTTCGGCCTCTCAGGTAGCTGGGACCACAGGCACATACCACCTGGCTAATTTTACTTTATTTTATTTTATTTTTTTTTTTTTTGAGACGGAGTCTCGCTCTGTCACCCAGGCTGGAGCGCAGTGGCCGGATCTCAGCTCACTGCAAGCTCCGCCTCCCGAGTTGACGCCATTCTCCTGCCTCAGCCTCCCGAGTAGCTGGGACTACAGGCGCCTGCCTCCTCACCCAGCTAGTTTTTTGTATTTTTTAGTAGAGACGGGGTTTCACCGTGTAGGCCAGGATGGTCTCGATCTCCTGAGCTCGTGATCCGCCCGTCTCGGCCTCCCAAATGCTGGGATTACAGGCTTGAGCCACCGCGCCCGGCCAAGGCTAATTTTAAATCTTTTGTAGAGATAGGGTTCTCTCCATGTTGCCCATGCTGGTCTCGAACTCCTGGGCTCAATCGATCCTCCCACCTTGGCCTCCCAAGTGCTAGGATTACAGGTGAGAGCCATCGGGCCCAGCCCTGACTTTCCTGAAAAATCAGAAGTGACACTTAAATAAGGATGCTAACTGGGTATGAATAAAGGTCCTGCACGTTCCCAGAAGCTGTGTTGGGTCCAGCTAACCTTGACACTATCAAGAGTGAAGCCCAGGTTGGGTGCTAAACAGGCAGGTGCAGTCGGAGTTCAGGTTTAGGGAGGCCTCAGGCAGCAATGAGGGGCACATGTGCAGGATGCAACTGAATTCTCAAGGGCAACCCAGACAAAGGCCATCAAGGCAGGTCTGGCAACTATCCCCCGATTCACAGCTATCTGCAGCTGCTAACAGGATGCCTGTGACGGCCTTGGTTTACTGCCAAGAGCTGACCATGAACAAAACTCTTGATATACTCTCCCACTGCCAAGAGACAGAAAAGGTGCTAAGGATGACAGTAGCTCTGACATTTAGTTTTTGTGTGACTTTGGGCAAGATACTTATTTTTCTGTGCCTTTTTTTTTCCTTCTCTGTAAAACAGGAATAACAATTACAATAACCCTCTGGCAATACAATGAAACTGTGAGAAGTGCTTTGTATACAATAAAACAAAAAAATAGACATGGGATTTGTCACGGGCTTGGGGTTCTTGCTTCCCGTTTCTTCTTCTTCTTTTTTTTTTTTTTTGGCATTTTTAGTAGAGATGGGGTTTTGCCATGTTGGTCAGGCTGGTCTTGAACTCCTGGCCTCAAGTGATCTGCCCGCCTCAGCCTCCCGAAGTGCTGGGACTACAGGCGTGAGTCATTCTGCCCGGTCTTGCTTCACATTTCTTCTGACTTGACTTTACCTCTACGGACCCTCAAAACCCAGGGCAACTGGAACAGAGACCGAGAGACTAAATGTCCCCAAAAGAGGAAGGGCTCATTAGGAAGGCCACCTCCTCAAAGGTGGCCACTGAGACTCAGGACGTTTTCATGCACTTTAAGTGGGTCGTGGCCCCAGAACAGACCCACCTGAGGACAAGTGCAATGGGAATCATGGCTCTTGCTCTTCATGTGTCCAGGTGCTTTTCTGGCCTGTGAGCAGCCCTTTTGGGGGCCCAGCATGACTCAGCCCAGTCCACAGGGAAGCCCAGTGGTGGGGGGTGCATCATCCCTTTCTGCTCCCATTGCCTTCTGTGGCCCAATTAAGAGGCTCTTCACTTTCTTTAATAAAATATGCTAAGAACCTAAGGGATTTTCTAGTTTTTCCTTTTAGAACCAGGTTAGGCACAAAAGGCTCTGACATCTTTTGAATCTTTCAACCCAAATTATTTATCTGCCACCAATTTCCCTGAGATCTAGGCCAATGAAGAGGGAGGGAGAAATGGAAGAGGACAAGAGAAGGGTAGAAAATGCTACTAGCAAACATGTCAGTACAAGGTGAGCATCCCAAATCCAAAAATCCGAAATCTGAATTCCTCCAAAATCAGAAACTTTAAAGCACTAACAAGACACAAGTGGAAAATTCTACACCTGACGCCTTTGCTTTCTGATGGTTCAATGTACACAAGCTTTGTTTCAAGCACACAATTATTTAAAATACTGCATAAAATTACCTCCAGGCTTTGTGTATAAAGTACATATAAAACAAATGAATTCTGTGTTTAGACTTGGGTCCCGTCCCCAAGATTGCTGATGATGTAAAAGCAAATATTACAAAATTGAAAAAGGTATGAAATCCAAAACACTTCCAGTCCTAAGCATTTCAGATAAGGGATATTCAACCTGTATCTGGGCACCCACACTGCAGGAGGACAGAGGGCCTCTGAGGGTGGTAAGGTCCAAGAGAGTGCTGATCAGATGTAGTCACCCTGGCTGAAGTCCCTGAGATGCTTCCTGCACTGCTGGTCAGGAAAAGGGAGAGCACAGGGAAGCGGAGGGAAACCTGAGGCAGTCACTAAGGACACACTAAGGCTGCATTACCATCACGCTGCCCAAAGCTAGCATTCTGTTCCCCAAGTGAGTATTCAAGGCAGCACAGACACAGGACAAAAAGTGGGTAAATGCATTTTCCAACACCACAAAGCAATGGGCTATGGAAGCACGCCGAGGCTAGAATAAAGCTCTGGGAATGATGTACAGAGATACAGACTTTGCTATCCTGAGAAATGCAATTGAAAGAAGCAGTTTGCCCAACAGTACATC